CTAATTTAACAAACCTTTCCACATCAGATGAATTCTTAATTGCACTCACCAAAACTAACTACATGCCCTTTGTCAGTTGTAGTGCAATAACAGGTTCTAATTTAACAAACCTTTCCACATCAGATGAATTCTTAATTGCACTCACCAAAACTAACTTCATGATCCCGTCCCACTACTTGTTCCCTACGCCATCCCACCATCAATACCCACTTCCAGGTTCCCGTCGCCTGCATAAATTCATTCCATCAATCCCCAGTTTTATGGTATAGTCACACCAATCAGGTCCATTTTTCGGTGTGGATTTTCGGATCCACGGCCACAGCTCGGGACCCGCCATTTCCAGACCAACGGAGACAGCCGCTGCCATAAAAACAAATGAAAAAAAAATTACAAAAAAAAATGAACGAACCAAAGAACAAACAAACAAACAAACAAACGAACCAAAGAACAAACAAACCAAAAACAAACAAACCAAAAAACAAACCAAAAAACAAACCAAAAAACAAACCAAAAACAAACTAACCAAAAAACAAACTAACCAAAAAACAAACTAACCAAAAAACAAACTAACCAAAGAACAAAAAAGAAAACCCCAAAAGAATAACGAAAAATCAGGAAGCCCCGGGCTCCCGCCGCATATGGGGCCTGCTAAATATACTCCCTGTTTGCTGGGCCGCTGAGGACCCGCACATCCAGAAGTCTGCGAGTCGGGATCCGTTCGCCCCGCGATCTTAGTTTCTTGATTATGTTTTTCTTTGTCTTTTAGTTTTCTATTTTTTTGGCTTCTCTCAGTTTTGCTTTCCGTTTTTTCTGGCGCTATTCTCGTGTGTTCTGCCGGCTCATATCCCCGCGCCTGCCCATCCGGATCTCCGCTCCACACCCCGTCATTCTGGCTTGCCACCAACAGCCAAAAAAAAAAAAGGAGACCGCCCCGCCACACACGCCCCAGCAAACCTGGAATCGTGCCAGCCTCGATCATACAACTGAGATCGCGCCTTAGACTTTGCCAACTTTGAGGTTTCACGCTGGATCTTAGCATTTTGGATTTACAGCCCTGAGGTTTCATCTTGGATTTGTTTTTTTTTTTTGGATTTACAGCTTCGGTCTTGTCAACTTCGACTTTACAGCTTTGAGGTTCCACCTTGAATCTGCCCATTCTGGATTTACAGCTTCGGTCTCAAGTTCAAC